TTTTTAAAACTTTTTCCCCCTCCGATTTTTTTGGAATCTATTTGCCGCAAACGGCGCATGACCCCTGAAAACCCTTACACAAATGTCTTCCTCGTTTCCCAGGTGGGGCATTCCACGATAGATCGACCAAAAAAACTTAAAATTTACACCCGCATATTTTATTTTTTGCTTAAAGTTGGTCTAATGGGTTGTGATGGGCGGGGAACCCAGCTGTGGCAAGGATTTTTTTTCTTCGAACAACGGTTTCCGAGATATAGCCTCGGGCAGTTCCTGGAGGTCACGCTGCAACCCTATGTTTGGCGGCTTATAACTCAGAAACTATTGGTTTTCTATGGTGAAAATTTGATATGGTTCAACTCGCAATCAACCAACAAACATTTTGGCTATCTCGGATTTTCGAATTTTGAAAATTTTGATCACGTGACATCTTGACCTTTTTTCGAAGAGTGACCTTGATATTTTCCCAACTGAAAGTCGCAATTTTGTCTGATGACGATTAAAGCCTTATCAATTGTCATTCATATGCGATAATAAAAAAGTGGCTTTCGGCCTACGTTGACCTCAGGTCAGGTCATTTTTATGACCTTCCCATTATTACGAGCGGGAGCGACAGCGAGATCTCGAGAACAAAGCAAGATAGCGACAAGCGGTAAATGGCACAGGGTACACATGGATAAGGTCTACAATTTTTACTGAGGTCATTTTCAGGTCAGGTCAAAGATGACGTCACAATGGTAAAAAGAAAGTCTAAGTGGCGGCACTACATATATATGAAGTTTTTCTCGAATAGCTTTCGAAGTATCCCAGCTAGGAACAAACTAATAGCACCATCGTGATCCTCTCGTCGATCCGCATCGAAACATGTGTATGTTGACCTCGAAAGGTCAAGGTCAAAAGTTGACCTTAGGTCACGTGACCTTAAGGTCATCATATATATCATTCGATGGGCCTTGGCGAGCTGAACACAATGAGCCTATCCTCGCGGCTGTATCTCACACCTGTAAGGAGTTATTAGCAAAAAACATTTGGTGACCTTTAATGACGTCACATGACCCAAGAGCAACGTCACAGTTGACCAAGAGCAAAAAAGGTCTCAAGGTAGTCAAAGTTAGTCGCATATGGAGTCACTCATGGTATATTAGGCAATTCCGACGCGTTTTAGTGTAAAAATAAGGGAGCTGATTTTTCCCCAATTGACTTATAATGGGGTGGTCAAGAAATTGACCTGACCTCAGGTCATCGGTATCGAAATTCAAAACGAACTGGCGCTAGGCGAAAGCAAACGGATTGGTGCCTATTCTACGTCTCTTTCTTTATTAGATCAAAAGGTACCGCCAAAACTATTTTGACTTCCTTTTTACCCATGTGACGTCATCTTTGACCTGACCTGAAAATGACCTCAGTAAAAATTGTAGACCTTATCCGTGTGAATCCTGTATCGTTTACCACTTGTCGCTATCTTGCTTTAGTCTCGAGATCTCGTTGTCGCTCCCGCTCGTAATAATGGACAGGTCATAAAAATGACCTGATCTCAGGTCAATGCAGGCCGAAAGCCACTTTTTTATTGTCGCATATCAATGACAATTGATAAGGCTTTAATCGTCATCAGACAAAATTGCGACTTTCAGTTGGGAAAATATCAAGGTCACTCTTCGAAAAAAAGATCAAGAGGTCACGTGATCAAAATTTTCAAAAATCGAAAATCCGAGATAGCCAAAACGTTCGCTGGTTGATTGCAAGTTGAACCATATAAAGTTTTTACCATTGAAAACCAATAGTTTCTGAGTTATAAGCCGCCAAACATAGGGTTGCAGCGTGACCTCCAGGAATTGCCTGAGGCTATATCTCGGAAACCGGTGTTCGAAGAAAAAAATCCTTGGCACAGCTGGCTTCCCCGCCCATAACAACCCATTAGACCAATTTTAAGCAAAAAATAAAATATGAGGGTGTACCGCTTTGGTCGATCTATCGTGGAATGCCCCAGGTGCCCCCATTAGCTTCATTTGCGCCCTCTTTGGTATATAAGCGCCCTATGTATAGTCATCAGAGACATCCCTATATGCAGGGGTGGTCAAAGGTGCCGAGTTGGGGTAGCACGGGCGTGGCAAATCCGCCGCCGCCCTATCGGTGACCTTGACCTCCGCCGTCTGTTGCGGCTCCAAAGCCAAGCCGGCGTGGAATTGGGAAAGCTCGTGCTACCCCAACTCGGCACAAATATCCACCCCTGCCTATATGTCCCACAGTCGCTCCGTTGTCGCATACAATGTGCGCTTATCATAGGCGTCTCTCTTTTATGGACACTTGAAGGCGCCTCTCTTTGCCATGCCGGCGCTCCTGTTTCTTATGAATGCACCCCCAGGCCCCATGGCATTGATCAATTGCAGTCTGCAGACCTCTATTGCATGTGGACGCCCATATATGTAGGCTTCAGAGGCGCCCCTCTTTCGCATTGAGGCGCCCCTATGAGCTTCATAGGCGCCCCTCTATTGCACGTAGGTGCCCTACTGTCTCAGAACCGCTCCCCTTTGGCATGCAGACGCCCATCTTTCGTACAGAGGAGCCGCTGTGGTTCATAGAGATTAGACTTAGAGGTGCTCCCAGACGCAGATGGGGCTCTCGGAGTCGACAGTGTGGGACCTTCAGTCGCTGATGGGTGCCCGCCAGATGTGGACCCTCGGAGACGCCGGTATGGGGCCCTCAGAGATGCCGGTATGTGGCCCTTAGAGACACCGGTGTGGAACCCTCAGATACTTCAGTGTAAAGCTCTTACAATTGCTGGTGTGGAGCTATGAATGCGCTGGCTTAAATCCCTCAGAGGCCGGTACATGGACATTAGAGCTCAGTGAGAGCTTGTGTGGTGCCTTCAGTGGCCTTGTGGAGCCGTTAGACATCAACATGGTGCTCTCAGGAGCCGGTGAGTCCTCGGAGTCACCGGTGTGGGGCCTTCAGAGCTCCGAGATACTGGTGTGGGGCCCTCAGAGGTGTCGGTGTGGGTCCTTCAAATGTACCTATAGAGCCTTGAGATGCACAGGTGTGGTGGCCCACAGAGGCGCCGGTGTGGGGCCCCCAGAGCCACCGATATAGGGCCCTAAGAGACACTAGTATGACCCTCAAAGGCGCCGCTGTGTGGCGCTCATAAACACTGGTGTGGAGCCATCACAGGCGGGTGGAGCCGTTAGAGGTCGGAAAGGGCCCTTAGATGCCTACAAGGAGCCTTCAGAAGCCGGCGTGGCATCCTTATGGGGATAAGCGTGTCTACTTAGGAGCCCTTGAGGTGCTCTCATGAGCTCTGTGGGGCCCTACCGAGCCGTAATATGGCCACGGCCAGTTGCCGCCGCATGGCTCTTCGGACAATCATTCTCAGGGGCCTCATCTACCTAGTTTGAATAGAAGGGCCTCTCAGACCATCAGTCTCATGGGCCTCCTCTGGCTAGTATAAATAGAAGGACCTGTTAGACCATCAATCCTAGGGGCCTCCTCTGGTTAGTCTAAATAGAAGAGCCTCTCAGACCATTAATCTCAGGGGGCTCCTGTGGACAGAATAAATAAAAGGGCCTCTCAGACCATCAGTCTCGGGGGCCTCCCTAGAAAAGTGTAAATGTGGATAGAGGGCCCCCTCAGATTCATTAGGAGTGGATCTCTCTGACTATCAGCCTCAGGGGCCTCTTGTGGCCAGTATGAATATAAGAGCCTCTCAGACCATCGGTCTCAGGGGCCTCTTCTGACTAGTGTGGATAGAGGGCCCTCCCAGACCACCGCTTTCAGGGGCCTCCAGTGGCCAGTTATATGAACAGAAGGGCCTCACAGCCATCAGCCTCAGGGGCCTCTTCTGACTGGTGTGAATATGAGGGCCTCTCATACCATCAGTCTCAGGGGCCTCCTCTGCCTAGTGTGAATATAAGGGCTTCCCAGGCCATCAGTCTCAGGGGACTCTTCTGGCTGGTGCCGGATTGAGGGACCTCCTAGACCGAAAGTTTTGGGGGTCTCCTGTGGCAAGTATGAATAGAAGGGCCTCTCAGTTCATCAGTCTCATGGGCCTCTTCTGCCTGGTGTGATTATAAGGGCCTCTCAGGTCATCAGTCTCAGGGGCCTCCTCTGACTACAGTGTAGATGGATAGGCCTCCCAGACCATCAGTCTCAGGGGCCTCATCTGACTATTGAGGATAGAGGGGCCTCCTCTGACTAGTGATGGTAGGGGGCCTCGGCTAGACCGCCAGTGTCAGGGGCCTATTCTGACTAGTGTGGATGGAGGGGCCTCCCAGACCACCAGTCTCAGAATCTGACTATTGTGGATAGAGGGGCCTCCCAGACTGCCAGTGTCGGGGCCTCCCCAGACCAGTGTGGATATTGGGACGTCCTCAGATCCACTAGGGCCTCTCAGGCCATCAGTCTCAGGGGCTTCGCCTGACAAGTATGAACAGAGGGCCTCCTTGGATCCATCACGGCCCCTTGAAGTCCGTGCGTGGGGATTCGTGGAACTTATTTTTACCGAGTTTGTTTATTCTGGAAGGTGACGACGTCCTCTCAAATCGAGACGAGGGGCCTCGAGTAAAAAGTGGGTGGGCCAAAACACATGTTTGGCCCCCCCACCTCGAAAAGTGGGTGGGCACTTGCCCACCTGGCCCCCCCTGTTCCTACGCCTATGCAAACGTTAAAAGGTTGTCATAGCAAAATAAATACACACAACTCAAGCACTGAACACACATGTATTTCCATCACTCAGCTTAAATTGCTGGTCACCTGACCTGCCTCTCGCTCTCGCCTCTCTCTCTCTCTCTCTCTCTCTCTCTCTCTCTCTCTCTCTCTCTCTCTCTATCTCTATCTCTCTCTCTCTCTCTCTCTCTCTCTCTCTCTCTCTCTCTCTCTCTCTCTCTCTCTCTCTCTCTCTCTCTCTCTCTCTCTCTCTCTCTCTCTCTCGCATAGCTGGGTCCCCGCAACCCCTGAGCTGAGGCTCTGGTGGCCTCCTGCCGTCATTTAACCTCCCTTCCCTCCCTCCCCAGCTCGGCCCCCGCGCTCCGGTGCAGAGGGCCCCCGGTGAGCCGCCGGCCGTCATCCAGACCGCGATGGCCACCAAGGACAAAAAGCCGTTCACCTACCTGCCCGGCGGCATCGACCTCTCAGAGATCAAGAGCCCCCGCATGCAGAAACGCATTATGATGAACGCGAGGAGTGACGGCGTTCAGGGCCCGGCGGTGGCGCAGTCGGCGGCCCCGGCGCCGGCCGCGGCGGCGGAGACGGCGCCCCAGGCCGCCCCGCCGCCGCCGCCGCCGCCGGCGCCGCCGGCGCCGGCCGCGGCCGCCGCGCCTCCGCCGCCACAGAGGCAGGCCGTGCCCCTGGCGTCCATACTGACCGCCTCCACCAAACCGGCCCAGCCTCAGCCCCAGGGACAGCGGCCGGGGATGCCGTCGTCTCCGGTGGCGCCTCAGCCGCCGGAGCGGGTGCAGTCCCATCGGCCGCAGTTCCGCAACGACCAGGGCGCGCAGATGGCGCCACCGTCGCTGGCCAAGATGGCAGCACATTCGCCGCTGGCCGAGGGGCCGCAGTCCCCTGTAGGATCGGTGCCGAGTCCGACGTCGCCGCAGACACAGCCGATCCGGTTCTCTGCCGAGTCGCAGCGCGCCTCGCCGCCGCAGCAGCTCCCGTCTCAGCGGGACGCCTCCCCGCCCACCCCCGCCGCCGAGCGGATGGCCTCCAACCCGCCCTGGCGAGTCACCAAGAAGCCGGCCACCCCGGACTGCGCCGACGGTGGCGCCCCCTTTACCGGCGCCGGTGGCGCAACCCGCGGCCAGGGCGAGCTCTACATCCGGCCGGTGTCCAGTGAGCCGGATCCGGCCGCTCCCGGCGTCCAGCTCCGCTCGGCTCCCGTGCCGTGGCTCAGCGGCTCCCCCACGGTGGCCGAGCCCGCGCCGCAGTTCGCCGCCGCCGCGCAGCAGATCGAGGCGGCGCGGCAGGGCCGACTGACTCAGATTCAGAGTCCGGCGCAGAGTCCGGCCGCCGCGGCCAGCCCCCAGCCGCGGTTCCCCCAGCCGCCGGCCGCCCAGGCTGTGAGGCCGCAGGTGGTCCCTCTGCAGTCGCAGTTCAGCCAGGAGGGCCCGTCTCGGCCGAGGATGGGGTATACGCAGCAGATGCTGCAGCAGCACATGGACCAGGACCAGAACTACCAGCGGCAGCAGCGGCAGCAGCAGCAGCAGCAGCGGCCGCAGCAGCAGTTCCAGCCGCAGTTCCAGCAGCAGCAGCCGCCGCAGAGGCAGATCTCTCAGCAGGCACAGCCGCGGGAACACATCATCTCTATCCGGCTGGAGGGTTCTCCGCCGAGAACCGCCCCTCAGCAGCCTCAGCAGCAGCCTCAGCAGTCTCAGCAGTTCCAGCCGCAGCAGCAGCAGTTTCAGCCGCAGCAGCAGCCCCGACCGGCCCACCCGGGCCCAGCGAGGCAGCACAGCACCAGCGCGCAGGTGGGAACGGCGGCCATATTTAAATAGTACCTATGTACGTCACTTAGGTGTGCTAAATTAATCCAGATGAGATCAGTTATTCTAACTACTCTTTTCGCTAGCCGTATTGTGCTTTAATTTTGGTATTGCTTATGTCATGTGCTCGTTTAGTTGTCGCCAAAGGTCTGGAAGGCTTTTACCCAGTAACTTGGTCGGTCCTGTCTGACGTTAGTTCCCGTTTCTGCCACCAGAGGGTGATCCCCGTCCAGCTGGTGGCCACTGAGGACGGTACCCCGGTCCTGTCTGACGTTAGTTCCCGTCTCTGCCACCAGAGGGTGATCCCCGTCCAGCTGGTGGCCACTGAGGACGGTACCCCGGTCCTGTCTGACGTTAGTTCCCGTTTGTCCCGCCAGAGGGTGATCCCCGTCCAGCTGGTGGCCACTGAGGACGGTACCCCGGTCCTGTCTGACGTTAGTTCCCGTCTCTGCCACCAGAGGGTGATCCCCGTCCAGCTGGTGGCCACTGAGGACGGTACCCCGGTCCTGTCTGACGTTAGTTCCCGTCTCTGCCACCAGAGGGTGATCCCCGTCCAGCTGGTGGCCACTGAGGACGGTATCCCGGTCCTGTCTGACGTTAGTTCCCGTTTGTCCCACCAGAGGGTGATCCCCGTCCAGCTGGTGGCCAATGAGGACGGTACTCCGGTCCTGTCTGACGTTAGTTCCCGTCTCTGCCACCAGAGGGTGATCCCCGTCCAGCTGGTGGCCACTGAGGACGGTACCCCGGTCCTGTCTGACGTTAGTTCCCGTCTCTGCCACCAGAGGGTGATCCCCGTCCAGCTGGTGGCCACTGAGGACGGTACCCCGGTCCTGTCTGACGTTAGTTCCCGTCTCTGCCACCAGAGGGTGATCCCCGTTCAGCTGGTGGCCACTGAGGACGGTACCCCGGTCCTGTCTGACGTTAGTTCCCGTTTGTCCCACCAGAGGGTGATCCCCGTCCAGCTGGTGGCCACTGAGGACGGTACCCCGGTCCTGTCTGACGTTAGTTCCCGTCTCTGCCACCAGAGGGTGATCCCCATCCAGCTGGTGGCCACTGAGGACGGTACCCCGGTCCTGTCTGACGTTAGTTCCCGTCTCTGCCACCAGAGGGTGATCCCCGTCCAGCTGGTGGCCACTGAGGACGGTACCCCGGTCCTGTCTGACGTTAGTTCCCGTCTCTGCCACCAGAGGGTGATCCCCGTCCAGCTGGTGGCCACTGAGGACGGTACCCCGGTCCTGTCTGACGTTAGTTCCCGTCTCTGCCACCAGAGGGTGATCCCCGTCCAGCTGGTGGCCACTGAGGACGGTACCCTGTCCTGTCTGACGTTAGTTCCCGTCTCTGCCACCAGAGGGTGATCCCCATCCAGCTGGTGGCCACTGAGGACGGTACCCCGGTCCTGTCTGACGTTAGTTCCCGTCTCTGCCACCAGAGGGTGATCCCCGTCCAGCTGGTGGCCACTGAGGACGGTACCCCGGTCCTGTCTGACGTTAGTTCCCGTTTGTCCCACCAGAGGGTGATCCCCGTCCAGCTGGTGGCCACTGAGGACGGTACCCCGGTCCTGTCTGACGTTAGTTCCCGTTTCTCCCGCCAGAGGGTGATCCCCGTCCAGCTGGTGGCCACTGAGGACGGTACCCCGGTCCTGTCTGACGTTAGTTCCCGTTTGTCCCACCAGAGGGTGATCCCCGTCCAGCTGGTGGCCACTGAGGACGGTACCCCGGTCCTGTCTGACGTTAGTTCCCGTTTGTCCCACCAGAGGGTGATCCCCGTCCAGCTGGTGGCCACTGAGGACGGTACCCCGGTCCTGTCTGACGTTAGTTCCCGTCTCTGCCACCAGAGGGTGATCCCCGTCCAGCTGGTGGCCACTGAGGACGGTACCCCGGTCCTGTCTGACGTTAGTTCCCGTTTGTCCCACCAGAGGGTGATCCCCGTCCAGCTGGTGGCCACTGAGGACGGTACCCCGGTCCTGTCTGACGTTAGTTCCCGTCTCTGCCACCAGAGGGTGATCCCCGTCCAGCTGGTGGCCACTGAGGACGGTACCCCGGTCCTGTCTGACGTTAGTTCCCGTCTCTGCCACCAGAGGGTGATCCCCGTCCAGCTGGTGGCCACTGAGGACGGTATCCCGGTCCTGTCTGACGTTAGTTCCCGTCTCTGCCACCAGAGGGTGATCCCCGTCCAGCTGGTGGCCACTGAGGACGGTACCCCGGTCCTGTCTGACGTTAGTTCCCGTCTCTGCCACCAGAGGGTGATCCCCATCCAGCTGGTGGCCACTGAGGACGGTACCCCGGTCCTGTCTGACGTTAGTTCCCGTCTCTGCCACCAGAGGGTGATCCCCGTCCAGCTGGTGGCCACTGAGGACGGTACCCCGGTCCTGTCTGACGTTAGTTCCCGTTTGTCCCACCAGAGGGTGATCCCCGTCCAGCTGGTGGCCACTGAGGACGGTACCCCGGTCCTGTCTGACGTTAGTTCCCGTCTCTGCCACCAGAGGGTGATCCCCGTCCAGCTGGTGGCCACTGAGGACGGTACCCCGGTCCTGTCTGACGTTAGTTCCCGTCTCTGCCACCAGAGGGTGATCCCCGTCCAGCTGGTGGCCACTGAGGACGGTACCCCGGTCCTGTCTGACGTTAGTTCCCGTTTGTCCCGCCAGAGGGTGATCCCCGTCCAGCTGGTGGCCACTGCGGAAGGTACCCCGGTCCTGTCTGACGTTAGTTCCCGTTTCTGCCGCCAGAGGGTGATCCCCGTCCAGCTGGTGGCCACTGAGGACGGTACCCCGGTCCTGTCTGACGTTAGTTCCCGTCTCTGCCACCAGAGGGTGATCCCCGTCCAGCTGGTGGCCACTGAGGACGGTACCCCGGTCCTGTCTGACGTTAGTTCCCGTCTCTGCCACCAGAGGGTGATCCCCGTCCAGCTGGTGGCCACTGAGGACGGTACCCCGGTCCTGTCTGACGTTAGTTCCCGTTTCTGCCACCAGAGGGTGATCCCCGTCCAGCTGGTGGCCACTGAGGACGGTACCCCGGTCCTGTCTGACGTTAGTTCCCGTTTGTCCCGCCAGAGGGTGATCCCCGTCCAGCTGGTGGCCACTGAGGACGGTACCCCGGTCCTGTCTGACGTTAGTTCCCGTCTCTGCCACCAGAGGGTGATCCCCGTCCAGCTGGTGGCCACTGAGGACGGTACCCTGTCCTGTCTGACGTTAGTTCCCGTCTCTGCCACCAGAGGGTGATCCCCGTCCAGCTGGTGGCCACTGAGGACGGTACCCCGGTCCTGTCTGACGTTAGTTCCCGTCTCTGCCACCAGAGGGTGATCCCCGTCCAGCTGGTGGCCACTGAGGACGGTACCCCGGTCCTGTCTGACGTTAGTTCCCGTTTCTGCCGCCAGAGGGTGATCCCCGTCCAGCTGGTGGCCACTGAGGACGGTACCCCGGTCCTGTCTGACGTTAGTTCCCGTTTCTGCCACCAGAGGGTGATCCCCGTCCAGCTGGTGGCCACTGAGGACGGTACCCCGGTCCTGTCTGACGTTAGTTCCCGTCTCTGCCACCAGAGGGTGATCCCCGTCCAGCTGGTGGCCACTGAGGACGGTATCCCGGTCCTGTCTGACGTTAGTTCCCGTTTGTCCCGCCAGAGGGTGATCCCCGTCCAGCTGGTGGCCACTGAGGACGGTACCCCGGTCCTGTCTGACGTTAGTTCCCGTTTGTCCCGCCAGAGGGTGATCCCCGTCCAGCTGGTGGCCACTGAGGACGGTACCCCGGTCCTGTCTGACGTTAGTTCCCGTCTCTGCCACCAGAGGGTGATCCCCGTCCAGCTGGTGGCCACTGAGGACGGTACCCTGTCCTGTCTGACGTTAGTTCCCGTCTCTGCCACCAGAGGGTGATCCCCGTCCAGCTGGTGGCCACTGAGGACGGTACCCCGGTCCTGTCTGACGTTAGTTCCCGTCTCTGCCACCAGAGGGTGATCCCCGTCCAGCTGGTGGCCACTGAGGACGGTACCCCGGTCCTGTCTGACGTTAGTTCCCGTCTCTGCCACCAGAGGGTGATCCCCGTCCAGCTGGTGGCCACTGAGGACGGTACCCCGGTCCTGTCTGACGTTAGTTCCCGTTTCTGCCACCAGAGGGTGATCCCCGTCCAGCTGGTGGCCACTGAGGACGGTACCCCGGTCCTGTCTGACGTTAGTTCCCGTCTCTGCCACCAGAGGGTGATCCCCGTCCAGCTGGTGGCCACTGAGGACGGTATCCCGGTCCTGTCTGACGTTAGTTCCCGTTTGTCCCGCCAGAGGGTGATCCCCGTCCAGCTGGTGGCCACTGAGGACGGTACCCCGGTCCTGTCTGACGTTAGTTCCCGTTTGTCCCGCCGGAGGGTGATCCCCGTCCAGCTGGTGGCCACTGAGGACGGTACCCCGGTCCTGTCTGACGTTAGTTCCCGTTTGTCCCGCCAGAGGGTGATCCCCGTCCAGCTGGTGGCCACTGAGGACGGTACCCCGGTCCTGTCTGACGTTAGTTCCCGTCTCTGCCACCAGAGGGTGATCCCCGTCCAGCTGGTGGCCACTGAGGACGGTTCCCCGGTCCTGTCTGACGTTAGTTCCCGTTTCTGCCGCCAGAGGGTGATCCCCGTCCAGCTGGTGGCCACTGAGGACGGTACCCCGGTCCTGTCTGACGTTAGTTCCCGTCTCTGCCACCAGAGGGTGATCCCCGTCCAGCTGGTGGCCACTGAGGACGGTACCCCGGTCCTGTCTGACGTTAGTTCCCGTTTCTGCCACCAGAGGGTGATCCCCGTCCAGCTGGTGGCCACTGAGGACGGTACCCCGGTCCTGTCTGACGTTAGTTCCCGTCTCTGCCACCAGAGGGTGATCCCCGTCCAGCTGGTGGCCACTGAGGACGGTACCCCGGTCCTGTCTGACGTTAGTTCCCGTCTCTGCCACCAGAGGGTGATCCCCGTCCAGCTGGTGGCCACTGAGGACGGTACCCCGGTCCTGTCTGACGTTAGTTCCCGTTTGTCC